GCAAAAGGAGTATAAAACAATGGCTGGAGTATGGTCCATTTATGAAACTGTGTGTCTGCATGTGTTTCTCTGTGTCTACACAAAAGGATCTCAAAGGAAATATTCTGAAATGCTAACAGTAATGATTTCTTGGTGGTAGGCTTTTGAGTGGTTCTTATTTTCCTTTTACACATTTCTGTGTTATCATTTTCCACAATGAGGATGTATTATTTTTAAATATAAAAAAACTTTAAGCCACAGGATTTAGTTGTAGTAGTGAATAATGATTTAAAGAAGAATTTTTTTAGTGTGACAGGTCTCATTTTTACTGCATGCTAATTAATTATAAAGGACACTTTTTACAAACGTAGAATATAGTTCAGATGCCATGATTTGGTATTTGGCCAGGGCTGAATTACCAAATAGTCACGCCAGTATGTGGCTAGGCCATTAATGAAGAAATAGAGACATCAGAAGTTAGAATATTTGAAAAACAAATAAATACTTTTGCTATTTCAGAAAAATGTAGAAGCATTTGTTCAGAGAAAATAATCAGAAAATCGTTGAACTGATGTACACTTATTTTACGACAATATCATTTTTACTTTTAAGAATGTGTAGGTGGAGAGATAATTAGGACATATAGGTAGGAATGGCATAACTTTTTTCAAGATTCAGGACCTACAGGATTTTAATCTGATCCTAAGCACAGAAAAATGGTCACCTCCTAACCTCTATGTCATTAAAAATAACAACAATATCTATCTATAAAATAAGGGCATATCAGTCCAACAAATTTCTGATTTTCAAGCAAACAAATGCTTCTAGGTTCTTCTGAATATCAAGAAGGCTAGATTTTCTTTAAAATACTTTTTTTGTGTGAACCCCCCCCCTTTTTTTTTTTGCCAAATTCAGTATGTTCAAAGAACAAATTATGGTACCTGAAATAGTCAAATAAAATGAGCCACACAATGCAGATTAGTAAATTGAATTAAAATTATTTTACCAATTAAAATTCAAATTGGTAAGATAATTCACTACCTTTCTACTATGGCAGTTTGTACTCACGAAATTATTGATCCATTCTGTTACACCATTTACCAAACACAAATTTGGACAAGTCTAACCTCCCTAAATCTGTTCCCGTTTATTTTAAATAAGTGTTATGACACTAGCTTTGTTGATATGATTGAATTAAAATGATAGAATAGAAGCTGAAATTGATGGAATATAAAATAAAAAATAAAGATGGAAAAGTGACAGAGTTAAATAAAATTGTATTAACATAAGGTGAAGGGATGGTACTAATTACAACTACATTGTTTTCATCATCAACTATTTCATGGGTGTATATCTTATATTCTCCACGGAAATTCTTTGTTGCTAACATATGCAAAGTCTCCTAGTCAGGTAAAAGCTCTACAAATAGTTGTTAGTTAATTGATTAATTTATCCTGCTTGAAAGCACATTTTCCCTTGATAGAATAATAGTGGAATGTGTAAACAGAGGGAATTGTAGCAGACGTCAAAGAGTAACAACCAAGTATAAACCTAACTTTTTGTTTCAGTAAAAGCCCATTATTGTGTTATTTATGTTAAAACTTCCATAATAAGGCTCCAACCATGAGAAACAAAGCATTAACTTTTGATGAACCAAAAATAAATGTAGAAAACTATTTTACTCTCCAAATATTGTCTAAGTCATTCTGAAGCCAACTTGCAGAAGGTAGATAAAATAAAAATATGTTCTGAAGTCACTTGAAATAAGAAATATCGTATTACAAAATGAGAAAGGAATTAATGGGTGTCCTAATTAAAACAAATTTTACTAAGGCTTACATACCAATCAAAATATTTAATTTCAATATTCCAACATGAATGACATTTTTAAGATACTGTTTGAGTGGAAGATTAGTTTGTTAAACAGCACATTTAAGCATTAATTTGTACATATCTTTCAAAAAATTTATTTTTGAAAAAAAATCAACTTGATGGCTCTTGAATTATTTTGTGTCAAGATCCCCTTAAATAACACATTACATTTTTCAAAATTAACCATGCAACAAAAAATAATTTTAATATACACATTTGACATCACACTCCAAAAAGTTGCTGAGAAAGGCCTCTATGAACAGGTAAATGTTCAGTTTCCTGCATTCTGGCAGAATTACATGTAAATTTCTCTAGGAAGACAATCAGTTAATTTACTTGCAAATACCTAGATCCTGTAATTTAGAAGCCAACTACAAAATGGAGTCTTACTGTTATAATCTAGAAGTGCCTGATCTTAAACAATGAACATACTCTCTTAAATAAATGACTTACTCTAGAAAAAGCAAGAGAAGTTCTTGAGAAGGAAATTTAGTCCATCCTAGACAAATGCATATCTAGGTCATACTTAAGGAGGTTTTGATGAGAAAAGAGTGTATTGCTTTATCTGATTAGCCAGTTGACTACTCACACTTACAATGAGGAACTTCTACAATTTTATATTTCTAATCTTCATAATTCCTCATAAAGTTGAAGCCCATTGATCATATTTGAGGTTCCAAAAAAATAGCAATAAACAATGTCCTGTGCTTATGCCCCATGTTCAATTTATCTGAAACAAATGATTGTCATATTTCAGTTTTCTCTTCTCCAAATGAAATAATCCTAGTTTTTTTAAAAAAATCTGTCCTCAGAGAGTTCAAATTTTAGTGCTTAAAACATACTTCACTTTTCTGTGGTCCCTTAGCAAAGGCCATATAATTGTCTTAAATTGTGGGGTCAAAAGCTAGACCTGTATTTCTATCAGGATAATAGCTGACACTTGGCAGAAACAGGCTATCTATAAGGAGTTTTAAGCACATGGCCTAAGGGATTCGCCTCTGTTTGAACTGTACCAACTTTGCCTCTAAAATGACATACAAACAAAAACTCAACAAAAAAGAAACAAAAACAAAGTCCCAGGATATCTGCTTTCGTTGCATGAAATGGGGTCAACTAGTACAAATCTTAATTTTTTAAGTTTACTATAGACATATCTAACATTGTAATTTTAGGAAGTCAAGAATTATCACTGAAAGATTCAGGATGCAATGTGTTATACAATTTTGATAGAACATACAAGCCCAGTATCTCTTTCCTTGCCCTACTTCATATAGTTGTTACAATTAGGCGCATGGTAGCAGGAGTTTACAAAGCTGTGGATCTATAATATATGGCATGCTATGAGCACATGCACAATTAAGTCACTAAGGCCCCTTCTCAAGTATAAACCAAAGAGAACAATTATTCTCAGAGAAATTAAACTTTAAACCTGATTCAAATACATATGAAAATTATAAATGTGGGTGGGGGTGTATGTAGAATCATAATGCAAGGCTAAAGCCCCAAACAATTGTTATTTTACATTGTAAAAAATGTCTGTACTAACAATGATATTGTCAGAGAAGAGATTAATGGATAAAACTATAATAGCCCATGTGGTGAATGTAATATTACTCATACATTTTACCTACAAAAATTTTTCCAGCTTTACTTCAATGAAATCCATTATCCTGGGTGGGAATGGAACCTCCTTATCTCCGGCACCATTAGTCTCCCGAGCTGCCTTAAAGCCTTGACATACTAAAAGGTCAAGCAGATCCCAGTGAGCATTTGTAAACTACAATGGCCCCCCATTTCAGCTACAAGCCACACACATTCTCCTGCTCAGCTTTGCTCACTCTCTGGTTTCATTTCATTGTATAAGCAGACTAATTTAGAAATGGCTGGGCTAGGGTACTTGGGAATACCTAGATTTTCAAAACAATCCTACTTTCCTACTTAATCATTTGCAGAAGGAGACCCATAATACAACATTTGGGAGAACTATAAAATGGTGCCTGGATACTGAAGGAATGAACAGCAGATAGCAGCACTATTAAATAAAATGAATGCATTTCACCTTCCAGCTTAGCTGTGCTTCCTGGGACACAAGGAACAAACATGAAAAGGTTGGGGTGGCATTTCCAGAAAACTGATTTGCTCAAACATTCATTTGGCATGATGCTAGAAACAAAATAATACCACAAGCCACCTCCCTTTCCCATCATTGTGAATTTGGAATCCTCAATATCACCCCCCACAAACCCAATTAAAAATAAAGAGGCAGGCTATGAATTTGCATCTAGTTCTATGATACAGATCAAATGATAGGCATCTGTTCCAATTGGTCACAATAAAATTAAGAGACAATAACAAGAGTAAATTTCACATTAATCCAAATGAAGCCAATGAATAATAATACAAACCAGAAGCATAGTTTCAAAAACGTGCAATTACTTTCAGACATACAAGGACATAGCTAACCCATAAAAATGATTGCAAAGCACACTCTACATATAAATATCCTCCATAAATGCAATATAAATGCTAAGTAACACGGGTATATATGATATGTATATCCATAATATATACATGTATAAGTTCACAATCAAATCTATGTATAAAATAAAACTGGTTCTGGCAAATGATTTCTCAACAAGAGTACATTAGAATATAAAATAGAATGTCGAATTCTGGGGCCGCTTTTTCTAAACAATCAATGAAATAAGCAAAACCACCTTAACATGAGTCTGGGAAGCTTATGAGACACCGAATGTATTTCTGAAGAAGGCCCAACCCTGTATGTGAGAGCTGCAAATGAAATGATTCCTTTCAATAACACCCTCTTCTTGGTGTTAGCTCCTTTTCCAACCCCTGATGCTGTTGCTAAGCTTAGGAAAAAAGGCACCAAGTGGCTCAGTCTGCATTCTGAGCCAGTTAGAGATAGAATCAGAACATCATTTTTTTTTTTTTTTAACACAAGCGGTTGTCTTCTCACTTCTATCTTCCTGGCAACCTTCCTCTCCCTCCATCACTCATTTCTGTCTCCACATCTCCCGCTCCTAGTCTGAGGCACGGGAGTCATTGTTCAAGTTCAGGCCAGAAATGTATACACAGGTCAAATAATAACACAATAAACCAAGAAGGGAGCCCTACTGTTTCCTACTCACCATGCTGAGACCCGGAGAAGCTGTTTAAAGGAGGGAGAGATGCAAACTGAATCCATTTTCCTTGTGACCGAGTCGGATGCAGCCTCCGAACCCAACATCAGCAGCGGCTGCCGTTTTTTTCTCTCTGTCTCTGGTTGGCGATGGTGCGAATAGGAACCACCCTTCCAGCTGCACTAGAGTATCAGCAATAGAGGCGGCGGCGGCGGCAGCAGCAGCAGCAGCATCACCAGTTGGGCCTCCTCCCTCTCGGAGGATGGGGTGAGCTTGGAAGCAGCCAGGAACTTGCAGCAGACACCTCCTCTGGCTCCTCCTCTCTCTCCCCCTCCCCCAGTGCCCCACCCCTGCTGCGGTAGAGGCTGCTGGGCCGGCAGCTGCTGGTTGCCATGGCAATGACCAATGATAAGCGACCAAGCTAAGGGGGAGGGGAGATGGGCGAAGCAAGCTGCAGGGTCTGGAGGGGAGCGAATTTGTGCTGCTGCCCTCTGGGATGCTCTTGATCTCTCCTACCCTGGACTCCAGGTCTTTTGAGAAATGGGGCGAGGGTGGATAGGCGCGGGAGGAGAATAATTAAAATTTAATTGAAATCTAGGTCGAAACATACGAAATAGCTTAGCTGTTTTTTTTTTTTTTCATTTTCTGTGGTTTTCCAATAAAATGCACGAAATTTTCGTGCAGATAAATGATAACAAATGTGGAGAAAATTATGTCGCATGACAGCAGATTATCATTACTTCCAAACGTGTTGGTCCTTTATAGCATCTTTTACTCAATACCAGGCAACAAGGTTGTTAGAAAGCAAACGGAGTGGCTGGACTTTGTAATAAATTAAGAGTCTGGTTGATTCCTTTGCACTACTCCCGGCTTGTTCTCAGGTGAGTTACTTGGTTTTACTGTTTTTCCAGCTGCCCTTCTGAAGAGGACCTGGAGGTATTTGACACTTCCCTGAGGAAAAGTAAGTTGGGATAGAGGACACTTAAATTCCTTTCAACGACCACGATTCTCGGTAGCACCAGTTGGTGGACAGTTCCCAATCTTTTTTAGCGTCAAACTCCTGGAGCGTTCCATTTCCTGCAGACACTTCCTGCCATTTTCATGGATGCCCTTTTGGAGTTCCGAAGTCAGTTGGCAGTCAGGGTGGTGGGTGTGAAAAGGGGAAGTGAAATCAGTAGTGTCGAGATCTAGGCGAGTTCTGTCTCTAACTCTGCATTATAGATGACACTAGTATTTATCTCGTGCAGGCTTTGTAAAGGTTGAATGAGATAATGCACTAAAAACACTTGGTATATAGTAAGCACACAGTGTACAATAAATATTACTATTGTGGCATAGTAGCAGCCACCTCTTAATCTAAGGGTTTAAGGGGAATTACGTGGCAATTTCAGGTAGGAGAAAAAATTAAGTGAGAAAACGCAAAATACGTGATAGCCATGGTGATGATGGCAAAGACAGAGGCCCTAAGAGATCGAATGTTCTACACATTTCGATATTTGAGGACATTGTAAATCTAAGAGGAGTTAGATACATTTCCTAAATTCACAACTGATAAACGACGGAGCCGGAACTAAAATGGACTCTTACAACACTCACATTTGCTCTCCAGACCACTACACTTTTCTGCCACTCCTCCATAAAATGGAAATAATCTCTGTTCTTAATCCACAGATTTATTTAAAGATTCAAATGGCATTAACACAAGTTTCAGAGTCAGACGATCTTGGCTCCGTTCCTAGCGCCAGTATTTACTCTGGGTATAATTTGGAACATATTTATTAACTTCCTCAAATCTGTGATTCTTCATCTGTAAAAAGAAATAATCATAGAATCTCATGAGTCATTATAAAAATTAAACTAGATGATATGTGTAAAATATACAGTGTTCAGCAGATAGAAAATATTCAATAAATGTAGCCATAGTTACTTGTTACTCATTTGTAAGTAACTAACATTAAACCATGAGAAGACGGACATTTTCCTGCATGGTGTCACTCTTGATGTCAGGGGCTTATTCTAATAAAACTGACTTGAAGATGCCTAGGTGACGCGGGAAAGAGTTGCAGCTCCTCCCCAGTACTTGACCCTGGCTTCCCATCCACTTGGTGGGAAAACCTGCATTCTGCTTTGTGCAGCCAGTGTCCCCTGCCTTTTGTCAAAACCTCAGCAGCCACACAGCCTGCACACATTTCCAAGTCAACATCACATATGTGTGATGTGTAGCATAAAGGAATAGGTTGTGATCACGTCGCTTCTTTTTGCATTCCTGTATTTTATCTTCTCCACAGAGATGGTCTTGTAAGTAAGCAGGGCAGGAAGCTACAGGCTGTAGAAGCTGTGACACACTAGATGACAGAACCCTCCGCCCTGTCCTCAGGACAGCATTTCATCCTTTGCTCTAGGAGCTGACTGGCTAAGGTGAGTGATTCTAGTTTTCTCCTCTCCTCCCATCAACATAAAACAATTGGTTAAGAGACAATCGGCCGGGCGCGGTGGCTCAAGCCTGTAATCCCAGCACTTTGGGAGGCCGAGGCGGGTGGATCACGAGGTCAAGAGATCGAGACCATCCTGGTCAACATGGTGAAACCCCGTCTCTACTAAAAATACAAAA